TAATTATAGAATAATTGCCTGTTATGTTAGATTGATCTTAATTACTATTGTCAATAATTAAACATATGTTGATTATTAAAAAATAATTAAGAATATAAGTTCATACTTACTACTGTCAATGATCTAAGATGAGCTCATAAATTTCTAATAAACAGGTATAAAGCTGGCATTCAGCACGAATTCGTTTTTTATAATATCATTTAATAATGTGGATTAAAAGGATTTAGAAAATATCAACCGTTAAATGTTGAAGTAGTAGATCTATAATAACATTTTTGCTATCTTGCCTCTAATTTCATAAATTAAATCGGTGAAGGGAAGTAGGTTAAGATCATTGACAAATAAAAATCTCGAAGTAAAAATATGAAATAGAAATTGAAGACCCTATAATCTCCATAACTCCACTTGTGTCCCTTCTAGAGCTACTGCCAGTCCCAAGTCCAGATTGAGCAAGAGGTTAGCAACCCCAGCCCGTAGGAAACAAACTTTGTTTTTAAAAAAAATGCTAACCAGTAATAATCTTTACAATTTGCAAATTATCCAACAAACTTAAACTTTTCCCATTTTAGTATGAAATCATAAAAACAGAGTGATTTTTCTTAAGATCAATATATACTTTTGATTATGCCAGTTACAGTATATTTTAAACAAACATTTTATTGAACATGCTTCACATGAGACAACTTTAGTAAATAATAAAACAAATTCAACTATTTTCATTTCAAAAAATCTTAATTAAATCATTTCAAATGTAATTCTATTGTCTAAATTGCAAAAAGAATTTAGTGTTCTTGACAAAAAAGAAGAAAGTCTACCCAATCATTACTTAACCACTGATTCACTCATTTATGATTAGCATATTCATCATTATTCATCTCGACCAGATTGAATGAATTTATAATTCAAAGTTTAAAAAAGGACAAAAAATAGATTCAAAATGACGATTCATGAATATTTTATAATCAGAAACTATAAATGCACGAATTAACAATCAACCTATGTTATAGACCAATCTTGGTAGGCATACCAACATAAGAATGGAAATTAATAATGATTGCTAAGATCATTTGAGATTGCTTGAAAAAATAAAATATACAAGGATTACAGTGCATTGGAAACTAATATTTATTATATGTTAGCATTTATACTCTAATTTCGAAGTGCAACTTCAATATGATTAGATTTCATCATACAATTGAGTTGTGTCGTACTGAAATCAATTAAATGTTTAATGTTTTGCTTTCTCATCACTTCTCAAGATGATATCGATAATGGTGAATAAAAAAATTACAGAAATCAAATAGGAATAACGTCAATAAGTTTGATCTGCGGCGATTTTAAGGAAACTAAATGAAAAAGTAAAATCGAATTTGAGGCGAGACTATAATTTATGGACAAACCAATAAGATTTAAGATTACCAGGTCTTGGATTTTGGCCTGCAATTCATTCACTCATTTGTCTAAATAGCGTTATGACATTTTAGCTTATGTCAGTTCGTGATGAAAACCCTAAATCTAATTTATAACTCTAACTATCAACTGTGAATCATAATTCTCATTCTTTACAGAGGTTTGTAACCTTCATTTGGTGGACATTCTTAAGGTCACTTTAGAGTCGCTCAAAGGTCATCCATAAATCAAAATCTCACCGAATTCGATTATTTCTTTAAAACAATAAGATCATGTCCAACTTTATGAAATTCTTGATCTATGAAAAAACACTTTAATATGCTTTACAGAAATTGATAAAATGGGGCTTCGAATCTATTTATATATAATGTTACTCAAGATAAACATGAAACAAATCGCAAAAAATTACAAAAATTTATAGAATTGTCGTTTTTTGTATATTGCTTTTTAAACAAAAACTATTGACGTAATTCAATTAGTATTGTTTGTTTGAATCTTCCCATTGATGTTTTGGACTGCAACTGGTCAGTCTCTTATTAGCATATGTGCATACTGCGCGTATTGCCTTGATATAGCCTTAATTCACAAGCATTATGAGCAAAGATAGATTGACGTAATGCTCAGAATTTGCATTACTCTACTGATTACATGTAAATACTAACAATGTTTATAATTAATAGTTCTACGTCTAGATAAGAGCGGACACTCCTGTGAACAAACTTTTAAACAAACTTTGTCATTCTAGAAGATATTGAAAATAAAAACATCTTATGTATATCACTATGCAATAAAATTACTTATATTCAATTTTTTTAATGGCTCATAAACTAGTTTAACTCAAATGAGATTCCCATTAGTTCATAAATTTTAATGTTACATGGATTCATCCTTTTTGCAACATATGTGTTATAACACGACATTACATCAAGTTACATCTAGTGTTTAAGATTTAGAGGAAAGAAACTTGAAAATAAAACAAAACAGCTGTTCACCAGTAATCTGTGTTTCCACTTACTATTTTGTTGTAAAACAAAAAAAGAGGATTATGTAGGTTGAAGTAAAGTTGTTTTTTTTACAAAATAAGAATAATTCAAGTAAACAGTGTTAAACATTAGTTCATCTCAAAACGTTTTTGTGTTTACGCAATACTAATTAAAAAAACAACTTGGAGTTACCAAACAGACAAACTTATATACTTTTATAACTTTTGGTAAATTTTCAAAATCTTTGCTGACTATTTCTGAATATATTTCGTTTGAATATTTTGTGTATAAGAAAAACCACTTGCCTGAATTCACACTAATCTCCAATAAGTAAATAATGATAGACAAGGGGTTAGGTTATCCAAATAATTTTAACAATATTGAATAGTTACAACTATATAAATTCCTTGAAACAAACATGCCAACATAGAATATGAAATTAAAACTGCTGACAGAAAACAGAAGCACAAGATTAGACAACAGTATGGAGATTTATTATTGTTCGATAGTATAAAACGTAGACAAGTAATGTAAAACAAAGTATTTCAATGAAATCACAGTCAAAATATGAATCTTAATTATTAGTTGTCCCAAGAAAATCTTTATTTTTCAAGTAATCCTATTTACTTCATAAGCTTTGAGATTAATCTTTGTAAGTTAGCCATAAATCCAGTCACGAAAGAAGGAAAAAAATACAAGAAAGGTTATACATAGAATTATTTTAAAGTGGAAGCTTATATATATATATATATATATATATATATATATATATATATATATAATTTTCTTTGAGATGAATTTTCTCCAGCATTATAAGCAAAGATGGATGGTGGCTAGAAGTGGAGTCGTCCTATTTGGCACTCGTCAGCTGGATATACCTGCATCCCAGAGTTGATGTCCACTCCGGGACTCGAACCCAGTAACGTTCGCTTATGACTTAAGACAATATCGAGGCAATCCTCACAGGATCCACATATGCCAGTAAGAGACTGATCTATTACAGGTCTAAACATCAATGGGAAGATTCAAACAAACAATACAACAAGAATTTTCTCCAGATTCTACAATCATATTTCCAAATTAATCATCCAAAAAGTGGCCAGGTTTAGGGCAAATTGCATCGTTTAAAGTCATAACATGTGAATTTAGCATAATGAAATAAAATAAAATTGTTATAGTTGATATGACTTATATGGAATGTTAACTTAAATCAGTTAAATGGAATTATAAGAGTCTCGGTCAGAATAAATATGGGTCAGATAGGGTGAGAGAAATAATAGAGCAATTATAAGTTGGATCAAATGTTATGTGTAGAAATTTATATGAAATTAGTAAGAAATAATAAAATGGAGTGAGTGCCAAGTTGATAAATCATATGTTAGGGAAATTATAGATGATAATAAACTAATAGTAATAATAATACAAAGATAAGTAAATAAAGGTAATAAGGACAATTATATTTGACTAATATAGGTTGTAAACACATTTGTCATATCAGGTCATTCAGTAGTTAATACTATTATTAATTAATTGGCTCTGAGGTTAGCCATGGTAAGAAAAGCGGTTGAAAATATTTCTTTCATACACGAAACTCCGGTTTTTCAACCCGAATAGCTATTACTTATGCCGTCTGAAAGACTGGGGAAAAATTACTGACCCGATAAATAATTGAAAAGAATTGGTTTATACTGGAACTGTGGATAGTTTGCACTAAATGAGCCAATATCGAGAAGTCCACTTTTTCACTAGACCTTTGCTTGGTCAAAAAACAAAAATGCTCAATTTATAAAGTACGAATAGGATGTAACTTGACATTTTCTACAATAGTAATGTTCATAGTCATGTAAAGAATTGCCTATAATAAGTTAAAGCGCCTGAGGCAGTAAAAAGTCAAAACTGTCATTAACAACTTTTATGTAAGTAGTTTTAAAAAAGTATTAGATGAAAAAGAAGATTAGCAGATGACAGTAGTTTTAACAAGAGGATTTCATGAATAATATCCTGGGGGAAAAGTAACGTTGTACTGAAGTTTCAGTAAACTGATTAACAAGTTTGTCCGTTTTGTTAAATGTGTTCATCAATTAATTTAGTAACTGGAAAATATTTAGTCACGAGGGAAAGTTTGTGAAGACAATTTGACTTATTATTGTTTTTTATTGTGTAATGGGGGTATCAGCTTGATTTAAAATATATTGAAAACTATGCCGGGCTAAAGAATAGCTACTTTATCTTTGTTTACAACTTCCCCTTTAGTAGTGAAGACCCATGACCCCACCACCAATCAGTCAAATGTGTGATGTAAACTAACATTGAATTCGAAAACATTTCATAAATATTTACAGTAATCAGAATAGCAGTAAAGTGACAACACAACTAAACAGATGATTTCTGACTTTCATAATCTGATGTAATACATTTATCGTAATTAATTTGATTAAACATCAATAAACTGACATAGATATATAGTCCCTGTAAAACACAACTCAACTAGAATTATTTCATTGCACAATATCACAAACTCAATTAGGTATATTATTGGATAAGATGAGTAATTAAAATTGATATAATTAAAAAAAGCTAAATAACACAAAATCAACTCAGACTTACTTTAGCTTGTACATGTTCCAAATGTACAACACGATGTGATAAATCACCTGCAAGAGCTGCAGCTGATTCACAACCATCAGTAGTTAAAGCTAAATTTTCTTTAGACATTTGTCTAATAGTAATTGGACTACCAGTCATTGGAGCTTGAGCTTCACATACACGTTGTGGTGGTACATTAGTCCAATTCAAAGCTAAATCAACCATAGCGGCAGCATCCATTAAACCGTAACTAATAATGATTGAAAATTAAAAAAAGTATAACTAATAAAACTCATGACTACAAAAAGTGAATTGAAAGGAATATGAGTAGTATGTGGAAAAATTGAACTAAGAAAGTTGTGTCGTTAAGATTCAATGAACAACTTTCGGATGCATTAATCAACTGGTTTCTGGCAATAAAGATCGGTAGAAGTAAAGCAAATTTTACGTCACTTATATACATACATATTAGTACAAAGAAGTATCGAAATACATAAACACTACATAATAAGAAAATGAGATTTTTACGGGATGGATAAATGAAGGTGAGTATAACAAAAAATAATAAATGATTAAAAATAAGTAAATAGAAGTCGAAGAATTAATGGTGATAGCAGTTCAGTTGAAAATAATACAACCAGAAAAAATCCTTTTGGTTAGAGAAGTTACGTTCAATTTGACGATCAAAGTAAAAGAAAGTTACTGCAAGATCGCCACTGGTTTCCATTCTGATCCATGTTTGATAACATCTCAAGCCACTGTGTTATACCATCACTAGGATCCCAAACAAGGAGTCGTGAAGGTCCAACAAAAGTCGGTCCCGTACAGAGTTCTTTCACGCCACGACATTATGTCACACTGAACACCGCTCCACTTTTTCCAACCAGTCCCAGAAATGGAAAATAATACACGATGTAGAATTTAACTAATATTCAATAGAAGCTTCTCAGAGTTATAAGAAACGAATAGACAATACATGTATCTATAGTTATTCTCCTTTTATGCATCCAAAATATCCTTGAAAGAAAGGTTCTATTTTATAATCACAGCCTTTTGCCTTCAGCGTGAGGTTTGAGTACAGATTTTTCGGGGACTAGAACGACAATGAAGTCAATGCCCTGGTAGGGCCGAGGGTACGAGATTAAGCTTTCCCTCTCCGAATGCCCTCACATGGCCACGCGTATACAGTCATTGATAAGGAAGTACTAATCATTGCTTTCTTGTAGTGAGGGGTGTTGTTTACGATATTGAGAGGACGAAAAGCGAATGTCCAGCACTTTAACCGGGTTGGTGGATATAGAAAATCCAACTAGGGAAAGTGCAAAATCCTGATTTCAAACCAATGGTGTACATGGGTTCCAGTATCCTGAGGGAAAAAATAGTGTATGAATCAATCATTGTTCACCAGCTACCATCGACTGCATCTCTTTAAGTTGCTCCATTGCCTTGTGGATTAGACATTTAGGTCGAAGGCTCCGTGTGTGGCACCCTAAGAAAACCATCTACTTTGGTTTGGGAACCCGGGCAGTATTCCAGCCCTCACGCAAATCGAATAACCAAGCGTGGCGCAGATATATTTGGTGGCTACTTGTACTACCAATGTTTGTGTTTAAATAAATAAACAAATAAGAATAAACTCAAAGCTGAATTTGATATTTAGGAGTAATTTAATCACGGATTATATTTGTGATAAATTTTGAGATGATGAAGACAGATACGTGATGGATAGGGAAAGAGGCCATAATTCTCTCTACGTTTCACTTAGTGTACTGTAATAAACGTTCTAGCATACTATTCAATATTGAATATTTTAAAAGTGGTTCCTATTACTAGATGATATCGCCCAGTGAACTATTGAGAACTAGGAAATATTATATTTTCCGCTCGTCTGTGACTCCTTTTGCAATAATTAGGCATGCGTTCGAACTCAATACTTTCAATTTTTGTAACACCATCATTCATTCTGAGAACTATCAGTGAAATAAATGAAATCCCTCTACGAAACGAAATTATTCAATTTATTTCTTCTAACCACTATGTATATTGAAAAGCAGTTCTGGTTTCTAACTATTGTATCTTTCTAGTAAATACAAAAACATTGATTTTAATTTTCTAATTATTCTAATTTCATTTATTCATGGAAAAAACACGTCGCCATTGTGACATAATAACAATGCTATTTCGTATTCTTCCTATACAACTCAACTAAGAAACGCGTACACTTTGGAAATAACACAGAAGCACATAACCTATACGACAAAAATGTGTCAACAAGCATCTTCCGACAACAAACAATACATAGAACGAGCAAAATATAGAGTTGCAAAATGTTGAGATCAAAAAGATATGAAAATACGGTGGATGGAAGAAAACAGAAATAAATGAGGTAATAAGTAAGTTAGTGCTAATACTAAACGAAGTGAAAAAACCATAAAGTTTTATATTAAGCAATGATTGAAAAGGAAGAAAGGAGAAGATAAAAATTAAATTAATGTGAAGGAGAAGAAAAGCAAATAATTTAAGCAAAAATCTCCTAACAGAATTGCTCACGAATAAATAGCAAGAAAAAAATTTTTACAACCGAATTAATGCCTGATGTCAATCTGAAGGGAAGGAAACGAAAGTGAATGAGGAAAATAAGTTAACGGAAAGTTTAAACAGAAAGCAGACAGTATGGTGACAAGATAAAGTCCACCATGGACAAATTGTTAGCATTTAGAAACAAACAATGAAAAATCAACAAAGATGAAGAGAAGAAACTATTCAAGAAACAATTGAATGTGCTCGCTGTACACTTTTGACTGATTTGAAAAGGATGGTGATAACTAGAAATGAATTCTTTAGTCATGGTTACAAATTTACGGTCAAGTATGATACGATAACTCAAAGGAAGAACTTTTTAGTAATACTTTCCTCAAGGTATTCTCCCAAGGAGAGTACCATGAGATCAAGTTAATCGACTGAATTAAATGTTCGATACAGTCCAAATCAACTGACGATTCCTAAGGACGAATCGGGTTTTTCTCATTTCATTGTAAGTCACTGCCTAACAAATACCTGCAGAGTAATAAAAAAATTAACTTGGCTGTTTGTAGCTCGAATTCAATCAATATGTAAGTGATAGATCTTTCATTTGCCTTTATGTAATTCTCGTTCACTTTAAGGGGACATTTATTGGTTGATGATAATTGTGAAGGTAAAATATTCAGAAACAAATGAAATAACACAAGTATAACCTAAACATGCCACTGTGCAAATGATACAGTATCAGAGCAAGTTTAAAACTACATTTAAATACATTGTTCAACAAAATATGGGTGAAAATAATGTTTCTGTGTTGTTTTCCTTGTAAACTGACTTTAACTGGAGAACTGTCGAAGAACAATAAGCATTGAAAAATAATTTCCTGTTACTTAAAAAGTGATTGAGCAGTATTGAGATCCATATGTGATCTGCACACCATCAGCTCTATCTTAAATACACAGACAAGGACTTCCAAAAGTAAACAGTAACACCTCTCTACAAATTCTCTGCATTTTACCAACTTTCGGCTTGATAAAAGGTTATTGAAAATTACATTTAGGTTAGCATTCCTTTACATTACTAGTGACCTATGGTGAAATGTTTCATAGCTGTTTGTATCAAAACTTTACTAAGTGTTATCCTAAGTTACATTATGTGTCTAGGTCGCAAGATACGATTTTAAGGTGAACAAGCCATGATGTATAGTAGGAGTTTTGACCTAGCCAAAAATCATTGTCCACATGAACACCATTTGAACGATTCCGATTAATTGCAAATATACATCAATTATAATATCATTCGGCACACAGAGATTCCTAAGTACATTTTGTCTTCCAAACTAGAACTAGCTATTCAGCTTAATAGTTTATGTGGAAATCTAAAAATTAACTATGCGTGGCCAGTTCAATAGTTAGTGAAGAAACAAGCAACATATCATAAGAGAATTACCATTTATAAAATGTCTAATGACAAGAAAATTGTGACATAAACCAAAAAAATTAATGAGGAAAATCAACACTATTCATTCTATTGATAAATTACACAACAGATTTTCACAAAACATAAGGTGTCTGCAAAGTTATAAACTGAAAATTAGCGTTAACGTAATTCAGTACATACTTAGGTTGTAGCTAGCAATGGAATTCAATAAGCACATTTTGACCGATTCAGGACTTATTATCTGTACTTATCCTATATCCAAGTGTTGATGCCGAGACTTGAGCATAGCACCTATCACTTCAGAAGCATATCCGTTCTTTATTAAGCCAGTGATCCTCGACAGTCGAATTTATGGCAAACAGTTTATATATAGATGCACATATGTCAACAAAAACTGACCAAAACATAGTCGTAAATATAAGTAACGGGGTTATATGAACTTCTTACGAATGATTTATTGGAGTCAACATACTTTAAATTATATATTTTGTCATGTAGTTTCATACTTCATAAAAATCCATTATTCTATTTTCCCATTTATATTTAAATATAAGAAATGTTAAATCCAACTACTGAAGTGAATAAGCTATCCAGTTCTATGAATATTTACTATTACTTGTGTGTCCAATTGTGTTGATTATTATGCATTTCCCAAAATTCTAGTTAGGAGAATCAATAGAGTTAACCAATTCAACGAATAACTCATCGACAAAATTGGATGTGGTATGCAGTATAATGTAGATAAACTAAAGTCAAAAATATGAGATATTCGGTTTCAACTATAAATAGCCTATAGATATTATAATCCTCTATTGAGGTATGCATGAACACTGTCAGTGATGAATTGGAGGTTACACATTTATTACCTCATTTAGTATGCATGTATAAGTGAAGAATTAAGGAGAGACGTGTTGGTAATATCGAGCGCATTTTGAACAAAACTATTGATATTTATTTGTTTGCCCAGAAACAGAAATGATAATTCATAAATTTATATAATGTGATAAGTTAGATTATACATAAACATGATTATTCCCTTTTTTTAAATGAAAGAAATGGAACCAAACACATCAGAGATAAATCAGGACAAGAAAAATAAATGTAATAATTCTGATAATAAAGAGATAAACAATAAGGAACGAAAGAGACCAGAAATATTTAAAAAAATGACAACCGAGAGAAAAAAATAAAGAATTATGTGACTAAATATTTAAACAATATTGTAAATAACATGAAAATTTAATGATGCATGCAAACAAACACGTATATATATACACAACTATAATAAAAACCATTGTCATAACGGAATACAATAAATGAATGATAGAGTCAATTTGCCTAGAGTGTATTAAAATATAAATCAACTAAGGTGATTAAAATCTCATGAAAATCTTGGCTGTTGACATCATCTAAACCAATTTAAATGAAGTCAAATTTACTATGTGCTATGTGAAACTTGATTTTCCAGGATATTTAATCAGTGTCTGTTATGAATTATAGCAAAACCTCCTTACGAGCATGAGGTATTATTTATTTGAACACATAAATATTGGTACAGAGGGATACCAGATATATATGCGGCACAAAAAGAGTTGTCATTTCATTTAATTGTGTGAGGGCCCGGGTGCTGTCTTACTTCTCCAAAAACAAACCCTGTTCTCTTGTTATTTCATATCATTTATTGGTTCACTCCTACAAAGTATAAAGTAATTACAACACGGTGAATTGGTGTTTCTCGAACTATTCTCTTTCAGCTATGGCTGATGTTACAATCACATAAATACATTGAAGAGATGTTCGATCGGAAATTGTATACACTTCAGTAGAGAATTACATTGCATAGAAATTAGGAGGAACAACACTATGAAATTCACATTCTCAACCAATAGAAAATTTTAAGTAGATATATAAATAATCTTTTAAGTAAACGAAAAGATCCCTATTAACAAGGCAAACCAAATTCGATCTGTCATCATCCTTCTTCCCTAACCTGGTAAAACATTTTGATTTTTGTAATAAGTAAGGAAATGTTTACAGGATATGTATTTGATTCGTAGTTATGAAACACACTTTTCAAGTTTCTTAAATAATTCACAATTCAAACATTAGTAAATTATGAAATATTGAATAAACTAATTGAATAACTAGAAGAAACGTTGAAAACTATGTTAAGTGGTTGGAGGTAATTGGCGTCAGGAGCCACACCTACATGTTGTGAAAGTTAGCATTAGTGGAATGTTAATTAACACCATTCAGTGTTACAGTTAGAGACGTTTTAGAGATTGGACTACTTTTATGATAGTCTCATATTATTCACCTAGATCATACAATCACTCAGACTTATTCTTTTTTTAACTTGATTAAAGTTGAACAATAAGTCGTAAGTAAATATATGATTTTAATCCCATTAATTATTTAGCAATTGACTAATTAATAACGTTTACCTATATCCACCGCTTCTGTGTCTTTATTACCATATTGTTTCTTGGGTTACATAAACTACCACAACCAATTATACAACAGTTGATCACTATATCAATCCACAGAATTTAATTCAAAATTCCTGCAACCTGTGTAGTCTAAACATGTGGTCTTTTGGGTTATTTTGTCTGGAATGTAACTTTTCTCAATCAAATTTTAATATCGCATTGTCAAGTTAATCTGATGACACAGTGGGTTGGGTCTAGAAAATATATTAAAATAAGATCTAGAATAATTGGAGTTGGATAAGCTTACAAACTGGAGAGCCCAACAGGAAAAATCAAAACAGACTACCTCACCATTAAAACTAGGACTATGATAGTACGTATGGTAAAAAGTGAGTAAACGATAATCTTCCCTTTAGATCAAAATAGTATTCCATGAACTGAATTTGAAAAATTAATTTTTAACTTTATCATAGTAACAATTATCTTTGATTTGTAATCTGTAGTTTTGAGCTTATCTATTTTTCTGTAGTTCTCACGTTTAGAGTCAATGTAGAAAATGATTCGTTAATTAATGTAGACATAGACATATAGAATGCAAAAAGATACAGTGCACATCTGTCATGTTTGATATTGTGGCAAGGAATTATTATACAATGAAATTTTATATCTAATGGCTGTTGTTAAATGGAAGAATATCATCCAGTTAGTTATTCAATAATAACTACAGGAAACTGTAATATACGATCCCCAAGGTTAATAAACAAATAGTGCATTTAGATCTACATCCGTTTAAGTTAAAGAATAATATTGAATTATTATCGAAAATATCAGTCGAAGTCTAATCTATATTGCTGGTTAAAATCTCGAATATTACCTGAAATGTTCTACTGAGAAATATTCATGGGAGTTATTACTTTTTAACGTACAGGGTTAAACGAAAAAAATCACTGTTCAAAAATCAAATAAGGTTTTACAGTTGAAAGATTCTTATTTAGGAATTATGGATAAGCTCTAGAAATATTTTAGGCAATCCTAGTGTTAGAAAAGGGGTCAAGTGTGTGACTCATTAGAAAATATTACTTGACTGAGACATTATGACCTTACGACATTTAGTTGATTGGTCAAAACAATATTAAGAATTTGACTAATTCTGACCAGCTAACTGTGTAAAAGCAGTCTATAAAGGTGAAATATTTTGTCAGTACAAGTTGTTTATTTTTACATGGCAAAAAATTTACATTTTCCAGTCTTTTTTTTTTACCTCTGTAGAGGCATAAATGCATAAATGTTCAACGTTCAAGAAAATAGATTGTGTCGCTTTTAACCAGAGGAAACTTAGTTATCTCTGAGTAGTTGTGAGTAATCTAAGTTACTACCGATAATTTGTTAATTTAACTTACCGAATTGAGAAGCAAATATTTTAGCCAAGTCACCTAATGTTGTATATGGGTTTACTAAGGGATAATTAAATATGTACATCCTATTGTTAGTGAACATCCTCCTTTATTTATGCTTTTCCGAGTTACCAAAGTCTATTTCCCCTATAAACTTACGCTATACTCCTACTGTTATCATAATTTCTTTCCCTACATAAATTTCTAAGCGCAATAAAAGAAAATACACTGCTTTGCCAGTTTTTAATATTTCCTGCCTAATTAGAATGCGACCGCATTGAAAGGTATTACCACTGAGCTAATCAATTTGAAAGAAATTCTTTTTAGATAAATTCAAATTACTAGCCAATATAATATTGCTCAAAGAAAACAATCACAGCTGATGATAAGGTAGTAATAATAAAAAGTCTAATGGTTCACGAAACTACTTAATATAAAACTAACAGAATTTCGAATCGAGTTAGTCATCGAGAAAATAGAAATTGAAAGAAGATACTTACCCGAATGCATGTGATACACGTCGACCAACACCATTCACATGCCAATCATCTGCATATAAACCATCTGGACGTGCTGTATAAACAACTAAATATTGTAAATCTCTCCAAGTTAAATTAGGATTGGCTGACAAGGTAAGAGCGCATATACCAGCAGCTAATGGTGCACTAGCTGATGTACCGGAATGATTATCAGTACAAGTGTGATTTAAATCTGTTGTAATCTATTATTCAGAATAAATGAATAAAGAAACACATTTATGTAATTAGGTTTATTCGAATGATTACAGAATGAAAATACGTTGAAAAAACCCCTTAAAGAATTAAAGCGTAGTTTTCATAATAATAGTTAGCTGTAATCTAAGTTAAGATCAATTTAGCACACAGTTGTGAAAAGTGAAAGGAACAACCGGATATTTCAGATTTAAAAAAACAAACCAAAATGATAATGGCAGTTTAAAAAATTATTTTTCTGTAAATGCTTTTTTTAACTTGCATAAACATCAGCAACAAGGAATGGATCCCTTATTCTGTGAACATTAAATACCCAAATTATTTATGATAAATTGCCTTATAATAAATATTATAATAATGAAGATATATATGGAGTATTATTCATCCACTTGATTGTAAGTAACTTTTCGTGAAAACAAGTTTTCATCGAAAATTATTGAAAATCTGAAACTACCGGTTGGCTAATTTAATGCAAAAATTCTAATAAATAGGTTCATGAATAACAAACTCGTCATGAGATCACACAAATGAAGAGTAGTGAATAAGAACTATTGAGAAGTTACGGAATTAGAGAGAGAAAGTAAACCAATATTTCGCAGTTTTATTTAGTTATCCAACATTAATTAATTTATTGCAAGGGCACCATCCAAAGTAAATGATACTTTGTTAGAAAGTAGCAGTTATTAATAATAAAAAAACACCACAGAAATACAACCAAAATACCCATGATAAGTGAAAAGCAACAGAAAAAGAAAATGACTAGAAAATTTTCAGTGGTCAGAACAGGTAAGACGAGAAGTAGAGACCTCAAGAGAAAAAGACAAGAAAGTACATTGTCCATAGTTTTAGTAAGAAACATCCAATTACACTTGATATGCATATAAGTAAGTAAGATGTCTATTCATAAAATAACAGATAGGTTTTTTGTAGATTTTAAAAAAATAGGTTGCTTCAGTAAGTCAATTCTTTCGACCACAGTTGTCATTGAAAAATTTCCTCATTAAAGATGTATAAGACATCAATTTTTTCCAAAAGACGGAAATAAATACTACATGTAATGTTTCAATGTTGAGCAATAATGAAAAGCAAAAGAATGGATTACCAGAATACAGAAACAGAGGTAACATAATGTTATAGAATAGTATACATGTATACCATTGTTGTATCTTGATGGCTTGTTGGTAAATTATGTGGTCTTTCTCTCCATGTACTGGGGTTAGTCGTTTTCATTCTTAAGACAAGCAGTGACAGTTTGCAATTCGTTCCAATCTTTAATTCATTTAGACTGGTCCTGTTTGCGGATTTATCTCCTGTATAATGTGTGATTTGTGTTACACATTTATACCTAGGTTTAAGCTGGTTAACAATCACAGTTTCAGTATTGGAGCTAATGATTATACTTACAGATACAAAATTATACATTTTGCTAGATTTGGATATTATTGAACCGAATAAAGGGTCTGTTAAGGCGAGTGGTACTTTTAACAGCTTGAATCGACCAGCTCCACTGAACCCACCCAACATCGAAGTAGTACCCGCGGACCTCTCAGTTGTTGTTGGCCCACCAACAATTGAAGAGATCAGTATGGCCATCAGACAAATCAAGAGCGGCAAAGCAGCGGGACCAAACAAAATCCCGGCAGAGGCACTGAAAGCAGATGTAGCAGCAACTGCAAAAATACTCCACATCCTCTTCAGTAAAATTTGGGATGAAGAACAAGTACCAGCAGACTGAAAGGGAGGACATCTGATCAAAATACCAAAGAAAGGCGATCGCAGCAAGTGTGATAACTACAGAGGCATCAGTCTTCTCTCAATACCAGGAAATATCTTTAGCAGGTTATTGTTAAACAGAATGAAGGATTCCGTAGACGCCCAACTTCGAGATCAACAGGCTGGATTCCGTAAGGATCGATCGTGCACAGATCAAATCGCAACTCTACGTATCATTGTGGAACAATCAATTGAATGGAATTCATCACTCTACATCAATTTCTCAACTTCACTATGAGAAAGCATTTGATAGTGTGGACAGGACAACACCATGGAGGCTTCTTTGATACTACGGCGTGCTTGAGAATATAGTCAATATCATACGGAATTACTATGATGGATTAAACTGCCAAATCATGCATGGAGGACACCTCACTGACTCGTTTAAGGTAAAGACCGGTGTCAGGCAAGGTTGCTTACTCTCACACTTTCTCTTTCTCCTGGTGGTCGACTGGGTCATGAAGACGACAACATCTGGAGGGAAGCACGCGATACAATGGGCAGACAGGATGCAGTTGGACGATTTAGACATCACAGATGATATGGCTCTTCTATCACACACGCAATATTAAATGCAGGAGAAAACGATCAGTGTAGCAGCAGCCTTAGTAGCAGTAGGTCTCAATATAAACAAAGGGAAAAGCAAGACTCTTCGATACAATACAATATGCACCAATCAAATTACACTTGACGGAGAAGCTTTGGAGGATGTGGAAACCTTTACATATCTGGGCAGCATCATTGATGAACACGGTGGATCAGATGCAGATGTGAGGGCGCGGATCGGCAAGCAAGTGCAGCATACTTACAACTGAAAAACATCTGGGGCTCAAAACAATTGTCAACCAACACCAAGGTTAGAATTTTCAATACAAATGTGAAGACAGTTCTACTGTATGGAGCGGAGACGTGGAGAACTACGAAAGTCATCATCCAGAAGATACAGGTGTTTATTAACAGTTGTCTACTCAAGATGCTTCGGATCCGTTGACCAGACACTATCAGCAACAACCTACTGTGGGAGAGAATATACCAGATTTCAGCGGAGGAAGAAATCAGGAAGAAGCTCTGGAAGTGGATAGGACACACATTGAGGAAATCACCCAACTGCGCCACAAGACAAGCCCTCACATGAAGGTCAAAGGAAAAAAGGAAGACCAAAGAACACATTACGCCGAGAAATGGAGACAGACATGACAAGAATAAACAAAAGTTGGATAGAATTAGAAAGGATGGCCAAGGACATAGTGGGTTTGAGAAGGCTGATCGGCGGCCTATGCTCCATTGGGAGTAACAGGCGTAAGGAAGTACTTTTAACAGGACTACAAATTTTCGGTTTTCTGAAATTCAAATTAGTTTACCCATTTTCTGTATGGACATAAGTGTCAAATAAACGTGTAACTCACAAATCGAATAAACCACATTAGTATGAGATTAATCATTTCAGTATGAGTATGAGTTTCTAAGAGCTCTTGAAATTCATATCATTGAGTTTAATCATTTAACCTTTTGTCTAACTGGTTAGAAATACAGGTTTTCTCGTCTTTAATCAAACGAAATGTTCACACAAGAATAACGTTTTTTTAATATTTTATAAAGTTTATCTGAAGACTCCCTTCAAATAAAGAAATATGCACAAATAAAAAACACTTTAAGATCTACAGTATACACCAAAAACATAACGACGTAAAAGAAAGCCATAGTAACACCGTACGCAAAACCGATATACAAAATCCCCACAAAATAAAAACGAGGCATAATTCGAATAAAAGTGGAAATTAATTTCCCACCAACAAAGGTTAATATAACACTCGAAACACACAGAAAATTATGTACACGAACAGAAACAAAAGATGCCCAGGATTTTTTGTTATGGAAGTGAGAAAAAAAATATTGAAAGTTTAGCGGGACAGGGTAAATGAAACATACATACACCAACAAAATGTTTAAACAAAACAAAATTCCAAAACTTGCCGCCAAATTTCTCTTTTGTCTGTTCTAATTTGTATTTTTACCCCAACAAAAAATAAAGAAAATAGGAGGAAAATTTATAAAAATGTATTTTATGAATAAATATATGTCTACAGTGTCGATTTCTAATTACGTTATCACGGTACCATATATATAACTCTGGCTCTTAGGAAACCAACCTATTTTTTAGCCAATAAAATGCACTTGTTCTTCAACTCACTTATGATTGCCATCGACTGACCTTCGCATTTGTCTGCATCAGATGTCAGACAGAGATACTTTGATATTTACTTCTTGAATAACTTCAAGTGTTGAAAGATATCAAATTAATGGATTGGAATCTAGATCTCATTATTAAATAGAATAGTTAGTCAGAATGATAATTTCTTGCAAAACAAGCAACCTTATAAAAATAAAATGCATTTTATTACAGACGGAAATATTTTTCAGTATTCTAGTAAAGGATACCAACCACTGTCTCTAATCAGAATAGTTTTATTAGACCTAAGTAATAGCCAGGACAGAATGAATACCATGAAAAGCATTTTGAAATGAGAGTGAGAATATGTATTGCATGATGACTAGAAAGAAAAAAGCGGATTTTCGATTGTCATTTGTCCCAGATAAAAGAAATGTTCGAATTTATCATGTTCACAATGGGCTTCTGGAATATGTACATCAAACGTTTATTCAATTTATTAGAATTCAGGTTCTCACCTCCCACTAGCTTTTTTTCTATCTAACACTAGATACGATATATGAACTATAATAACAGGAACTAAAGTACTTCTTTTTCAACATAATTTATGTACTCACACGAAGTTCCTTGATTCTGCTCATAAGTAAGTAGCAAATTTTATACAGCAGAGGGTGGGGAGAGTCAGCTCTCCCTCTCCAAATTCTCTCGCATGGTCACGTGTACACATTCACTACCAGGGAAGTCCTACTCACTGCCTTCTCGAAGCAGGGTGTTGTTTACAAAATTGAAAGGACGAAAACGAATGTTCAGCACTTTAACCCGGTCTACCTAGGGAAGTTAGAAAACCCTGATTCCAAACTGATGGTGCACATGAGCTCCAGGATCCTGAGGGAACAAACAGCGTATGAACGTATTATTGTTCACTGGCTACCATGGGACTGCATCTCCTTAAGTTACTCCACTGCCTTGTGAATTAGAACTCTAGATCAAAGGCTCCAAGGAAAACCACTCACTTCGGTTTGCGGACCCGGGCAGTATTCCGACTCTCTAATGCCTCCTTGTACCAATATTTATGTGTTTAAATAAATATATAAGGATATGACAAGGATGTAGTTAGACCAGTGCTTTGTGCTACAAATGACCTAGTAATTCCAACTTTGTTATTAAAATAGTGTAATCGAATAAATATATACACTATATTTTATGCTGTGGCCGATCGAGTATCACCATTACTTTCTAAAAGGTGAATGAAACGAAGTTTAGTCTAAAAATCTACGCATGATTATCAAGTTGTATATGCTTATAATTATGTTTAAATATTTATGAGCTTCCAAGTTTCTGTATCTTAGAGAAAACAAGTTTTATTTATTCATATCGATTAGTGTATCAACAGTATGGATTATCAATTATTCTGAACTCTTGATAATCAATGCAAAAAAACAAGACAGACATTTTATAGATAAAATAAGATGGTATTTACAGCTCAGTAACAAACAATTTAGGCGAAACGATGATACAAAATATCCAGGGATCAGATGAAACAAATAATTAGAGTAATATTGGTCAATCTGAAAAGAGACCTGTTTATAGATGTTTATATTTTTTCTCATACATAAAAACCTGTTTATATGAAGTTATGAATGAAAGATCGATTGTTACACCGACCAAAGATTTTAACGAAAGCTGGCTAGAAGATTGTTTTAAATATGCCGAAATGACTAATTTTGAAACTCTATTACAAGAGAAAGCCAGAAATATTAAATATTACAGAATAATGTTTGGTACGTTACATAAAAACATTCAATCGATAGTTTATTTGATATTTTTTAAACAAGGAATAATCAGATGGAGTACCATTTTTTGGAAAAAAAGGCTCAAAAATTAAAAAAAATTATGAAACATCAAAATCGATAATTAATAGACTAAGGGTAATCGTTTCTGAACCACTTGAAACCAATATTCCACTTTAACCCAAAAGGTACATTTCGATTATGGTATTATCTACAAATGCCTCTTGGTATTAACTATGAAAAAATGTTTCCTCATAAAAAATGAACTTTTTGAAAAGCAATAAGTAAGTGGAACTTGGTAATGATTGACAATAGTAAAAACACCATAAAAAGTGCCGGAGCACCGTACAATGATTGTGTCTTCTTATGTGACTCATCAACAATTTGTACTTACGAGCCAACCAGAGATAGAGGTGATGTCTCTCAAGTTTCCCAGGGAGCATGTTACGCTTTTGGACAGGTGATTTGTAATCCAAAAGTATGTTTTCCCGACTTCAGTCAATTACCGATATATAATGGGTATAATTCAATAACATCATTGGAGATGGCCTTACTATATTTGTAGCGTATTTTTTAAAGACAGCATATTACTAGACAGAGATTTGCATGAACTCAGAAGGGAAGTTGTATTTTGACAATGAATGTTACGACAATTCGAAAGAAATTAGGTGAAAATCTACTACTTTTTAACATGAAATACAACAAGCAAGATTGCTATATTCATGTCATGTTAACAGCACCGACAAACAGGAAGCGAAAACTTTTTCAAGTTAAAAATAGTCAATGTTAAATATCTAGAGAACGAGATATTTAGGGCTTTCTCATATCCAACAATTTCAAAATACCCAAAAAACTTTTCGGGAAATCGAAAATGAACAAAAATCTATTGTTCATTCATATAAATAAACATTCACCGAATTTCTAGTTGAAATGGAAAATGGAAAGAACACAAAGAAATAAAATTCTTTCCGACTAGAAATCTGAATAAGGGAATTGAGAATCATATTGAAATATTATGATTATTTTCGGAAAAGGACTATGGTGCAATTACCAATAATGATAGTTTGCACATTGTTTGTTTAAACAATCGTTTTTGGCTACTACGTTAGTGTTTTTTTTTCATAACAAAAAGACTTTATTCATAATTTTATCCTAATTCAGAGTCAAATAAATATATACTTGATTGGTTCTACGTTATTTATGCTGATCTAAACTCATTCAAACATATAAATATCAGATGAATGAATTTCCATTACTGTGATTCGTTTGTATGTTTCTCAACATATTTTAAAAACTTTCCAACGAAAACAACAGAATTCGTAGTGTCAATGAAAAAGGGCAATATACCAGTTCATTACTTTGATTCACTACTCCTCTCAGCGAATTTTATGTATATGATAAATTGCAGAATGTTTTGATTGAGATCATGAATCGATCAATGTTGGAGCACCATTGAAAACATAAAAAGACTAGACCTCTGTCTCGTCGTAGTACGGTCCTGCACGCAATATCCGAACCCAGGACCCACGGTCTCGGGCACGAAATTTTAGCCTCTAGAACACTCGGCCGGCATCCAACGGCGCTGATGTCTAACTTCAACCAATCCACGATCTTGCATGACAGTCTTCAACTGTCTTCAGTGAATAACTGCGTTCGCGCACGAGACCCAGGAACCCGGGTTCGCGCAGAAGCGTGGATGCGCGTTTATGAAGAGTCCCACACTAAAGATAAACAGTTGTCCGAAGCCTCCAGGTGTTCAATAGTGTATAAAGTTGATCGATTCATGATCTAAATAAAAACTTAACAATCTCCACAACCGCATACCGTAGAATATTTATTTGAATTAGAAACATATTTGTTGCATTTCAAAAACTGAGTCACGAGACAAATTTCTGGTTGTTACAAACATGAATAGAACCGTGAATAATCTGTAATCCGATAATTATATCAGAGTATATACACAGGATGCATATGCGCCAATAAAGACTTATTAAAATTCAGTCCGGAATAACGAGACATTAAAAACCCTTACTATCAATGACATAATTAGCAAACCTACTGAAAACTATAGAAGATATCTAGACTCAATAGCTCAATGGATATATAAAATGTTGAGCGTTCGAAGGGAAAGATAACAAGTTAGAGTCTCAAAAGGAATGTCAGCATTAAATGAAAGTATATCCATATTACTAGTCCTAAATAGGACGAAATGTGAATGCTGGATTTCAGTCCTGACGATAATATATCCACTTTAAACAGACCATTAATTCTATACTGAAACCATCTTTCAATGAAAACAGTGATTATTTTATCTTAATCTTGACTGGATTTCCTGCACATGTTACTATGTTACGTTAGAAAAGAACAGACGAAACCAAGAGGAGACAGTTTCTCTGTGTGTTTTTTTGATTTCCTACACTGAAAAAGAATCTTGAAATGTACCTTTAAAGAGCATTTAACGCTTAAGTTAACAAATTAAAATATCAAATTATAGGCTACAAAACATTTTCCGTGCGCTTAAAGGTAATGATATAGAAATTAGAACTTTCATACTACTCCCCAACATAGATAAAAAGAGAACTAACTAAATGAGTGATATAGCAAACCTTTCTCATCATAAAACACATTAAAACTGTATGATAAGTGGATATTTCAGTGCAAGAACACGAATGCATAAATAAATAGATTGTTCACTATGTCAAACGTCTACTCCAACTCTTATATTATTAAGATTGTTCTGATTCTATACAAGTTCTAAGCACTATTTATTTGCTTGAAAACATAACTTTTACCATGTGTTTTTGTGTCATCATAATTGTGGTGATCAATGACTAAATGACAACATAAATAGACGGTTCAGTAAGACAGACTATATCAAATGTTAGTGGATTGTGTCATTTAAAAGGTTACAAGTAAAAAACAAATCAAATTAAAGCTAAGCATTTTTCTCAAGTGAAAATAATTATGATTATGAAAACTTACAACACCACGTTCACCACGTCCTCCACTGCTATAGGTAACAGCTAAAGTTGAAGAACATAATTCTGCATACCACGGAACAGATCCATGCTCTGAAACTGATCCAACACCTAGTGTATAAATGCTATTTGTGTATCCATCACAATTGCAGTTATCATGACTTGTACCACCATTCCCACTGGCCCATACAAAAATTGATCCCAAACCACGTCGACCCTTTAAACATAAAAAGTTAATTCAATACATAATTAAAAACAGTTGGAAACAAAGAATTTAGACGAAATAAATGTGTATTCCAGACATTTCACCACCTTAAGGAACTCAATTATCTGAGAAATAAGATTTGTAAAATCAAATATCATATTTTTTGACAATCAATAAAAAAACCTAAGATTGATTGTTAGTTTTTGGATACACTAACACGTAATATTGTCATTCATTAGATAATGAGATAACCAATCCGATGGTTTGGGTTAAAACTAGTATGAAGAATATTAGACTGTATTACTCTTGTGAAATTCCAAATGCCTGTAAAGGTATTAACAGTAAACAAAGGGGCTTATACATGATTAATCAAAATCAGATGAGTGGTATGTTTATTGAGAAGCAGTAATAGATTTATTTTATATCAGTGTCTAATTAATTTCTAAATATCAAAATCATTCAATAACTAAAAGGTTGACGGATCATGAATCTTGAACAAAAAAGATGTACTTCATTTTTAAATGCTACAGAACTGAACGGTACGAAATGATCATATATTGTTTTAGGTTTGACATTTAAGAAAGCTACTGAAGTTTATATATATATATATATATATATATATATATATATATATATATATATATATCCTATATATATATATCCTATATACGGTCGAAAATATCACACTACTTCCTAACTTTAACAAACTTCATATACCACTAAATTGATCTCTCGAGAATGTTCTTACAACTCATAAGTCCATTAAAACTGCAGGATACTGAACATAAAAGTAAGTGATTTCATAGTGTCATTTCTCGCTTAACATTTTTACACACATGATCAATCAATAACCTTAAGTTGATACGTCCGAAGTATGAAATCGTCATAATTTCACTAATCATGTATTTATATTTTGGAATTTGGGTAAATAACCGATGAAATAAGACTGAATATAAGAGTGGCACTGTAAGAGTCCATGTAATTGTTTTAATATATTGATCGTGTTGCACAGTGTTGCCTGTGAAATATAAAACTGATTTTTAATCCACAACAAACATAATACTAATATGAAGCTTCTAGAAATTGATAGAACACGAAAAAAACGAAGTAGCTTTGATAGAAAACTTCCAATAATATGTCATCTTCAAAAAAAGTGTCGACTATGATCTGATGTTTTCTAAAAAAACAAGTGGAAGTGTGTAGTGTTTAATCTAATTGAGTAAATAGTTATTTAAAAATTAAATTACAAACAAAACAGCATTCAAACTACTTACCATTTGTATTCCATTGCGAAATGCCATTTGAGCAAGTTTACCTGGACCATCAACTGTTTTACCGTCATCTTCTGGACCCCATGATGCAGAATATACATCAATATGTTGTAGCTGATGACTTAGCGAACGTGACTCCATTGCATCAGTCACATCACCATCTAACATACGTACACCACCAATACGAGCTCTATAAGCTATACCTAATCCACATACACTATTATTTGCGGCAGCAGCCACTTCACCAGCGCAACGAGTACCATGACGGCTGAAGTAATAGAAAATAAGAAAAATCGATTATGTAAGAAGTGTTTGTTTGAATTGTTTGTTATTCGATGAGGAAATATGAACAACAATTACAATGGTATTACTCTTTGTCTATGTGATTTAAAAAAGAGTATACTATAGTTGAATCGCAGTCAGATGGAACGTTCCATCAACTGGTTGGAATTCTCTCTCTCTTCGTTTAAAGAACATTTGTTATACATTAATTTACCATGTTTCAAAGTAAAAAAATATTATTCATAAGTCAAACAACTTAATGTTGAAAATAAGAATGATTCACATACTATGCTTCCAGCTCATATCCTTAATTTGTGTTAATCATTCTTACATTTCGAAAAAAGATGTACCGAATAGTTAATAGGCATACTTCAATTATTTTTATAAGCAGTGGAGCGTATCAATAAACCGTTAAAAGAAATCGGAGAAATGAAAATAAGTGATAAACACTTTAACGAATAACTTACAAATATCTAAAAGAAAGGTTACTATCAAAATAACATTATCATATAAAAGATTATGTAGTGTAGTGGACTATACGCACATCGGTTACTGATTAAGCACAATACAACTTATTTCAAATTATAGAGATATATTTCATCATATGAAGGCAACAACAAAATATGCAACATTTTTTAGTTATCTCAGAAATTGATTCATTAGTGTACGATAAGTTCCAGCATAAATAGAAAAGACTAACTTGTACTGCCTTGCGAAGTGAAGTAAAGATTATCTGCTTAAAGTTTGAGAAGAAATAGTGATAAAAAACACCAAAAACATTATGGTTTATCTAAAACTCATATATACTCCTTTGGTGATCTGTTAAAACTCTTGTACTTGAGTTATTTTGGGACAACAACGAATAAAAAATCAGTATCAACTCAACTGCCCCTGGTACGACCGAGAGTGGGGAAAGTCTGCTCTTTCTCTCCAAATGCTCTCATATGGCCACGCGTATATAGCCTGTGACAGGGAAGTCCTACTCACTGTCTTCTCGTGGCATTATTTTTGTTTATGAAATTGGGAGGACGAAAAGCGAATGTCCGGCGCTTTAACCGGGTTGATGGACACGGAAAGTCCACCTAAGGAGTTGGAAAACCCTGATTCCAAACCAATGGTGCACATGGGCTACAGTACCCTCATGGAACAAATGACGTATGAATCAATCGTTGGTCACTAGGTACCATGGGAATGCATCTCCTTACGATGCTCCACTGCCTTGTGGATCAGATCTTTCGGTCGAAGGCTCCGGGTGTGGCACCCTAAGAAAATCACCTGCTTCAGTCTGGGCACCTGAGCAGTATCATAGCCCTCACACAAATCAAATGAGATTTTGGTGGCGCATATATATCTGGTGCCCCTTTGTAGCAATATTTATGTGTTTAAATAAAAAAAATAATCAGATCAATTTCATATTTTATTTCATAATCTCAAATTTCTAACATAGTAGTTTGTTGTATTTTAGTTACTGTAAACAATGAATTGTACCGGTATAAACGTTTATCCGCGACGTGTATTAGGAACAAAACACTAACTAAACAAAGTGGTTATGGTTGAAAATGAAAATAAAACAAACAAATAAACACAAAACCCAGTGAATACATGTGATTATTCGCCTATAAATTTTTGCTTCAAAGTTGAAAAAGATTAATAGATAGTTTTCGAACTAATTACAAGCACACTAAACGAAAACAAAAAAAAGAATTCTAGTATATGATGTTGCGAATTTGATTTGTGGACGTAATCTTAGATTTTTTCGGCTTTCAGACATAAAGAATATGAAGCATAAATTGTGTTGAAAGTAGCCATAACATTTATTAATGTATAAATTTAGACAAACTTGAATGAGTGAATAGTGTCTGAATCAATCAACTATGTTATTTTGTATGTGATGAAGACCACCACCTTATAAAAAATGTTAATTTTATTCTAAATAGACCTTATATTTCAGACCGGGACAGTAATTCTCTTTATTATATGCATTCGGAAAAGTTGATGTTCGTAATGTAATCTATACTGTATATAAACAAATACATAAAAAAATCACACAAGTGACCTTTATAAAATAGATCAATAACACTATTTGTAAACATGAAGATATATGAATAAAAAATATATATATGGATAAACTTAAGTCATTCAATAGAAGGCTCTAAATGAGTAAACAACATCGTTAGCACGGGAGATTCGAGAAGATTGTTCAATTTAAGTATAGTTCGCACCACACACTAACCTTAGTTCAACAACTACTGAAAACCTAAAGAGTACTGAAAAGCTATTTCACCACTGTTTGTAGCTCCCTGGAGGTTGGTAGCTACAATACCTAATAGTTTCGGACTTAAGAAATAAATATTAGTTAGGTAGAACCAGTTTCTAAACAGTTTGCTGAACTCTCGAAGGTAATTGGTAGAAAATCTTAACAGTAAGTTTCTTCCTTTTAAACAATGTATACGGTAGATAAAATAATAAAATTTCTCATACAGTCAAACTGTGATTAGAAACCGATTATGAAATCTAACGATTTCCACAGTATCTTACAAATGGTGATTTCTCATGTCAATATTTACAAACAATCCTACAGTTATGCATCATTAATAAAAATTGCATTTTTGACTGAAAATTCACCAATCCATTTTGATTAATAATTTGAACTAGTATATGTAAAATCTATTGTAATTCAACTGCTTCATTTACATATTTTTGAGAAAATACATACTTCCAATTCATTTGATTTACTCACAATCATATTCAACATTCACTGTAAACGTATAGTAATAAGGCATGATTATGTAATCAATCTTTTAAGAGTGGTTAAATCCAAAGAAATAGATTATCATTGTAAATTTTTCAAGATAACATTTCACAAATCTTCTCTTTTTTTTGAACTAACAAAAACCAATAGATTTCAATATTTCAAACAGCTAGACATTTTGACACAGTCGTTGTTCTACTACTACAATAAAAATTAGTTACATAAGCTGAATTGATCTGTACGTTAAATGTGTATTGGCTAATTCATAATCCATGTTTAAAACTATGTAACTTTTTCTAAAGTTCCAATGATCTCATCATGGAAACATGAATATAGATACATTTGTTAATTAAATCATAAGACACGTTATCTATGTATATGTATAGATAATAATAAATGTTACATAAAACAGCTGTGAAATGTAATGAAATATAAACAGAGTATTAAACAAGAACAAAGCAATAACATGAAATTAATGTGTATTAAAAAAGAAACATCTATCTGTATACACGTGTACATTTATGTTGATATTGCAAAGATCAGATAAATGCAAAACGAAACTATTTGTGAATTGTAACAAAAAGTAGATTCAACATAACGGGTTAGAAACATACATCTAAAATTAAGCTTAACTTTTGGAAATTAACTATTTATTTTGATTTGATGTTATGAGATATGTACATACAGGTTTAAAGCTATATAATTATTAGAAAGGTTTTGCAATTTCACGTTACTGAAAACCTTAACTAAATTTTAATCATTAAGGTGGAAGAATATATTTGTAAAATCTAATCGATTGAATTTTAAGTAAATCCAAAGTTTCGCTTAGCAATCTGGTTCAAGCTTTTTCAAGGAAATATAACCAAATATCAAATTATCTAATAAAAATAGGTACATGGTACTCCGGTTACTAAATAGGTCATCCAATCATGTCAAAAATGTTTAAAGTAAGCATTCGCTGTAGTTCGCATGAGACATGTGATGTGTAACGAAAAGTGTGATAAGATGACAAATTGTGTGTATTGCTATGTGAATCTGATGTATGAAAATAAATTTCATTGACTATATATAGCCTGTGATCAGTATATTTTTGAAGAAAACGTACAATTTGTATATATGACATGAGCCAAACAAGTAACAGCATGCATAAAATGAAGATAAATAAACAAAATAAATAAACGAATACTTAAGTTATTTTGCTGTTCCAGTTAATTGTTCATCATTTATTCAGAGTATGTGGTGATGTCTTATATTAATTTGGCCCCCAAATACTGTGAAACTATTCGTTTAAATTTAGACGAAATTTCTTATATATTAATCAGTCTTTGTTGGCATATGTAAGTCCTGCGCAGAGGGCCTCAGTATGACCATTTTATCATAAGTTTCATAGAACAGGTGGTTTATGACTAGAAATAAAATCCAAGGTAAGTGTTTCGTGCTGTTTATGGCTCTTCAGACGGATGTGCTTGCATCTCACTGTTGATGTTCATCATGAGACTTGTAACTAGCACATTTCGACTCACAGACTGATCAAAATTCAGTCAAAAATTTCGACAAAGTGATAATTCAAAATCTTACTGCTAATGATATAAATGTTACACCGGTTCAAAAGCTTAGAGTGTGGATGTTTAGCTTAAACGAAGTCCTAGTGTCAGCTGATCTGGGTCAAGTAGGGAGTAATGCACAAATGGCTTCCTACAAATCAAGATTTATTCCATGCCAATGTTGAGAATCAAAGCGAAATTTATGAGCAAACAATGTTATTTCCAATTAGGCTTTCACCATTCTTTACTCTGATGTATTATAATATTTATGTAAAAACATTAAACCAATCAAGCCAGTTTATGAGCCAGTGATTACAGTCGAATAGATTGCATAAATAAACAATAAGTAGAAAGTACAAATTGATGGTATGATGAAGGGTGTACTAATTGTGATAAGAATAATAAATGCTTGGGTTAATGTTTCATAATAGGAAATAGGTCAAGGACTTCAAAACTATCGAGACTGAAATAACATTCATTAAAATTATTGAAATTACGTAATAAGGAGTGTTCAAACAATTATTCTGTGACTATGGACATAGAATGAATCAACTAGATACAGATGTGGAATTTGAGAATTTATTTTCACAAAGAACAGATATGGTACCAATCTTACTCGAGGGGATTAAAAGATTTAAAACCACATTGGTTGACATCTTCCGATAACACAAATATAGTAGATATACCATG